TCAAAATATATACCAATTAGTGTTCTTAAAACTATCAAAATCTATTGTATATAAATTACTTTATTCTTAAAAAAATTAGTATACAATTTAAATTACATAATAAAATAATTAGATAAAAGGATTGACTCCATTATATTGGACTCTCCCCATCCAACTATCTCAATAAACTCTTATTCTTTATATCGAAATAGTCATTACATTAAAGCACAAACTTTGGTTCTATTAATTTTAAGCTTGTTTGTAGTTAAAAATATAAAGAGGTCATCTCAACTATTGTAATTTTTTAGAATGAATGCTCATATGACATGCATATTAGAAAGAAAACTTGACAAATTATGGTTGAAAAAAAGTTCAGAGATAAACATCGGAGTAGATGCTAGCTAATGGACATTTGCGGTTATTTGAGCGAAAATCAATAGTGACGGAGTAACGAGCATTAATTGTATATATATACCACCTTTGTTTAATTTTAATTGTTTTAATTTAATATTTTAATTTTTTAAACATTAAATTTAGATACAAATTTAACACAAAAATGATAATATTAAAATTTAAAAATTTTGTAAAATCAAATAAAACTACTGAATAAGAACTACATAAAAGAAAAAAAAATCAATTGTTAATTATTCATGTATTTTATTAACTTTTGATATAAAATTAATGTCTAAAAAAATTAAAAATTAAAATTAAAATAACTATGGAGTATTCTATTTTCATACCCCATTAGACACGTTTGCCATTAATTTCCCAAAGAGCTTGGATGGGACCTAACATGTTTTTTCCACCCTATTGCATACGCCTACTTGAAAATTCCGCTGCTATGTAGAAAATGTAATCGAGAATTAGTGGAAGACTTTTACGCGGATGTGCTTCACACCACCTTCCCAAACTTTGGTTTTTCCTTCAGCTTCAAATATCTTTATCAGTACTCTTTTTCTGTTATGGAATTCTAAGTGTTGTATTCTAACTTTTCCACGACGCTGTATACTAGGCAGCAACATGGATTTTTCCTTATTGAATTATATATTAAAATAAAAATGTCTAGTTTTAAATGGAGAAAAAATAACTGGGGAGTACTATATTTTCATACCCCATTAGACACGTCTGCCATTAATTTCCCAAAGAGCTCGGATGGGACCTAACATGTTTTTTCCACCCTATTGCATACGCCTACTTGAAAATTCCGCTGCTATGTAGAAAATGTGATCGAGAATTAGTGGAAGACTTTTACCCGGATGTGCTTCACGCCACCTTCCCAAACTTTGGTTTTTCCTTCAGTTCAAATGTCTTTATCACTCTTTTTCTGTTATGGACTTCTAAGTTTTGTATTCTAACTTTTCCACAACGCTGTATACTAGGCAGCAACATGGATTTTTCTTGATTGAATTATATATTAAAATAAAAATGTCTAGTTTTAAATGGAGAAAAAATAACTAAGAAGTATTCTATTTTCATACCCCATTAGACACGTCTGCCATTAATTTCCCAAAGAGCTCGGATGGGATCTAACATGTTTTTTCCACCCTATTGCATACGCCTACTTGAAAATTCGGCTGCTATGTAGAAAATGTGATCGAGAATTAGTGAAAGACTTTTATCCGGATGTGCTTCACGCCACCTTCCCAAACTTTGGTTTTTCCTTCAGTTTCAAATGTCTTTATCACTCTTTTTTTGTTATGGACTTCTAAGTTTTGTATACTAACTTTTCCACAACGCTGTATACTAGGTAGCAACATGGATCTTTCCTGATTGAATTATATATTAAAATAAAAATGTCTAGTTTTAAATGGAGCAAAAATGTAAACTCACCTTTGGATTATTATCTCACGCATATATGAAGAAATTAGTGCAAAGTGTCCAATTGTACACTCGGACTAAGACTTAAATCTTGTGCTCACTACTGCAGGAATGGTATATTCAGACCGAAATATTGGTCCGGATATATTACCAATCGGTCTGAATATATATATACGGACCGATATTGGTCCTTATAGTTGATCTGAAAAAACCTGGTACGAATAAGTATAATATACAGACCGACTTATAATCGGTCCGTATATATATACTATCCGAACCGAAATCGGTCTGGATATTTCAGTAAGAAATATAAAGGTTAAATACCCTTTTTGGTCCCTCTACTATAGGAAAAAGCCCCTTTTTGGTCCCTATACCGAAAAAATCCCCTTTTTGGTCCCTAAATTTTAAAATCCGGCCCCTTTTTGGTCCCTCCGTTAATTTTTGCTCGCATGGCACGTTAACTTAACTGGAACGGCTGATGTGGATATGCCAGCATGTCAAAGATGCTTACATGGATTTAATGACACCCTCCATGTAACCTTTTCCCACGTGGAAAATTAAAAAAAAAAAAAGGTTAAATACTAAATTTGATACCTCAACTTTATAAATTTGCACTTTTTTTGTCTTAAATTATTTTTTTTCATTTTCTTATCTTTTAATTCTAAAAATTACATAATTTTAGTTTTACCATCAGT